CGGAAGGGGCCGGGTGATGCCTTTTGCTCATCACACCGGACATTCCAAAACCACGAACTGGTTTAGTGGGGGATGCTTCCTGAGTGCAATGCAGGACCTTGGCCCACTTACACACTTGAGCATATCTTTTTCTACTAGCAAGAACAGATAGTAACAGCCTGGTTATGTTGAACATGTTATGAGCGCTTGAAGCGTGAGCACTGAGCGGCACCGACTGCACGTACGAAATGTCGTCCGGTGCCTTTTGGCCACTGAATTGAATTATAGGGCACTCTGACAGGTTTGTACACCTTTATGAGTCAAATGCCTTCTCCACCTGACTCACGCTTTGTTGCAACCTTGTCGAGGTGGTTTATAGATGTTTTGAATTGTTTGATATGTACCTGTAAAAATACCCCCATTTAAAAGACATTGAAGGGTGCCAGTATATACTTCGAAACCGCTGCAAAAGCAGGCCCCTTAAGAAATAAGAACTCGTCTCACAAGCTTGAGCGGCCTCTTAAGAGTCCCCTTAGCGTGAGCCCTAGCCTTCCAAGACTATGCCAAAAAATGTGAACCTGGTGTGGTGCTCTAAATTCTAAAATCCTCTAAATCCCGTTGTACAGCAACGATGGTTTATACTGTGGCATCCCGATCCCCTTGTTGCATTCCTCTTCCACGCTTGCCCACCATGGGGCAAAAAGCGTGTGCGTTTTGCACAAAGTTTTCCGCCATCGCTCGCCCAGCGCCCTCGAGCGAGGAAATGGTGAAAAACGGTTGCTGCACCTGGGAGCACTATGCGCCCGAGGCAGCAAACCATTGGAAAGAGATTGGGGTCGAAACCACGTATTCATATTTCATTGGATTTCAAGGGCAGTGACCAAAGAAACCAGATACAAGATCAATTTTACAATATTTTCCCAGCCTAAAAATCAGAACAATACATGAAACAATGATCATTTTTTCCCTTGTCAGAGGTTATCGAACTATTCACATTCATTCATGAATTAGATCGGGTTGGTGACCAACGTGTGTATCTCCTCACGTGTGTCCCTGTCTCGTCTCTGGCCGATCTCAGTTGGTGCGGCAACGAAGTCGAGAGCTCCGGCACCGGCGAGGGAATGTGGAGGCGAGCGGAGCGCCAATCGTGGTACGCCCAACCGGTGGCACGTCGCGGTTTCGCACGTCGCGGTTTCGAGTGTCCATGTAGTGAGCAATCACTACAGTTTGTTCATCCTCAAAGTAGGAAATATGATAACGAACGGGTAAGTAGGAAATATGAGAACGGGTAAGATAGAAGATAGAAAGCAGCAGAAGGCAGTCATTCCAGGTACAGACTGGGCCGTTTTCATCGTTTCGTAAAACAAACACACGGATGCACGGATGCCCCCCCCAAAAAACATCCGTTATTTCTTTTATACAGGGGGTCCCAAATAGGGGGACTCGCAAAAATGAGGTTCTGGGAGGAACTTCAAAGCAGATTTGTTGGTCAATTTTATTTGAATCTGTATTCCTTTTTCCAAAGCAACCATACAAAACATGTTTTCAAGTAATCGATTCTTCGATAGTTTTTGCTTGTGAGGAGTTTTCATCAGACTATAACAAGTAAGAAGATGTAAGAAGTGCCATGCGGTTTGGCACAGCCTCGGCGTTTTTTTTTGCCATTGGGAAACGGGACACCTGAATCTTGCAATTTGCAACATATATTGATGGCTGATTGAGTGCGATTGGACCGGACACACATACAATTTGTTTTGACTGTCGAAGACAAGATAGACGAAATCCTCCGAAATGGATGGTATTGACAAAACGATATGGATTCTAAAAGGCCTCTTTTGTAAGTCGGAACTCATCCCAGAAGCACCGAAGCCATGACTGTGACAGGATTAGACACGAAGCTACTTGTATCCTGAGCCAGCTATTTGGCTAGGCCTGACGCATCTAATTGGACATGATAGCCTTTGCTTCACTTAACGATTCTGCTTGTCATGCCACTCAAACCACTGTTCCCCTTCAACGAGTTCAGGTCAAGCCACGCATTGGCTACATTTCTGGTACTGAACGTAAACATCTTATTACACACAATATGATTTGTTGCAATATCATCCGTCAATAGCAATCACCCCATTCCTGGGATAACATGTTCTTGCCCTCAAATTAACTGGTACTCTCGAGTACCAATTCCAAAACACTACTAAGTTAAACAGCGCGTCGCAAGACACCCTAAATATATATTCTGGTTCCCCTGTTGCCTTTTAAATTGCCCCCTGTCACCTGTACTTTCTACTACTAAAATTGCCCCCAACGTCGTTTTGGGCAGATTTCTGTTTAGTAGATACTCCACCACATTTCACCACAGCTCGTGCAGCACGTACAAACACCACCTCGTAACTCCTGCCAGGAGCATTTGGATCTCGTTCACCAGCTAGTGAAAGCCCTTGCGGCAGCGCAGAACACCGCACGGGGCGCACAGAACACCGTACGCCGGGGAGCGGGGAAACACCGGTACGGACACTCTGCGGATCGGGTCGCCACGTCGAAGAATTGGACGTCAGGAGTCCGTTTCCGGGATGAGGATGGGAAACGCATGAACTGGGCCTATTTGGATCTGTGTTTTTGATTTTTGTGAGCATATGGGAGTTGATCGAAAACCCCGTGTAAGGAGTTTTATATAAAACAGCCTTTCAGATGTTGTTAGAACCATCCGCGAAAGATTCGCGATGAGGTTCGCGAAAGTATCTGTTTTTTCCGCGAAAGATTTATCGAAGGTCATCGCTTTCATTGTTTTCCTTTCTACCGGACTGACAAAGAATAGAAACGCAAGGCAATCCTCCGGCAGAGCCAGTGGGCTGCACGACGAACTTTTTGCCAACTCAATGAGTATAGTGGGAAATTCAAGCTCTTGTCTGTTCTGTCGATGAATGTGCAGGCCCGGCCCAGGACGTAGATGAGAAGGGATCGTATGTTTGTGGATAGTCCAGTTCTGCCAAAGTTTTGGATTGAATGAGTTCAATGTTTTATCAAATCCATTTATATAATTCATTTGACCCCTTATTTTAGTCTATAATTACCTTCGGGTGACGGTGGACGAGGTCGGTGTTCACCATCTTTTTTGCTATGTTCCAAGGCACAAAGGCACCACAAAGACCAAACAAGAACCACGAAAGTGAAACTCCATGAAATTCGATTGACATTTAGTGAGGGTTTATTGAGATTTACCCTTATCCGTCCTTCTCTATGCCTATATTGAATGGTACTTTGATGTACTTTTGGATACAGCGTCCTGTGATGATGTCCGATGATGTCTTATCAACACCTAGTGGCAAACGAACTGAAGCCTCAACATTTCCGTGCCGAGCCCTGGCAGTGCGTAAAGGATTCTCCGATTCCTGTCCCCACTGTCACAGGCTAGCAATCTGGGTAGGCACAGCCCTGACAGTGAGGCAACGACCTGCAGCTGCTCTGACAGGCTGCGCAGATGTTTGCAAATGTTACGGCTTCCCGGGGAACACGCCAGTGAAATTTCGCGAAAGATCCGCGAAAGTTTCGCGAATGTGCCGCTAAAGTCTAGGTTCCCAGCTTGAGGCCCCCCAACATTCCCCAAGCTGTATCACCCTGTGTTGGTAGCTGGCGCGAGGATTGGGTTGAGTTGTGCCTGACTCTATTTGGCACAATTGTCGAACAGATGCTGCAAGTGACCCTGAGTAGCTGTGGAAACGTTCAACCATCTACTGGGGTCATGCTGCAAGATGTCTCTACCTATTTTGTGATACTATGACATGTTCCGGCTCATGTTGGCTAGATATGGTTGTAGGACCATGCTTCGCGATGAGGCCGCGAAAGATCCGCGAAAGATATCTTTTTTTTCCGCGATGAATGGCCATTCCAGGATGAAAGAATATTGATCAGCCACCATATGTGTGTGTGCCATAGCCATTGGTTCATGGATTCTGATGCTTTTGTCGCATGTTCCTAGGTCTCGAGCAACTGCCCCACCCGAAGATGAACATGAACTGAGAGATGTTTTGGAAGTTTGCCGGACTCGATGGGTTTGAACTTGGCATCGATTCCCATCAGTTAGTTGCAATGAATTTTCGATGAGGTATGACAAGGAGATACGGTTCATTTACCAGAACCTAGACTCTAGACCTGGGTTGATTTTTGTTCAGTCTCTAGACACGCAAGATGGACTAAAGTTTGGGTGCACCGGTGGTGAAATTTAAAGACGAACAAACACATCCATCGAAGGTACTCGCCCATACTCGCACATCAGAGGTCGCCCCTAGCCTCTCCCTTCAGACCAACTCTCGCAAAAAGAGAAAAGCTGCTTTCATTACAGTTGACTGTTCCCGGAATAATGCATTCCAGCAGTTGGCACGGGCCGGCGCTTTTGGCAGAAGCCCCGGGAGTGGCATTCGATGGATCCTCAAGCTTGACTGGCTTAGCCACGGACGGTTCGCCGCTACGAATCTGACACCGTCTGATGATGTAGACGTGCCCGAACTCGGGCAAGACGTCTCACGCTTTTAGAGGTTCAAGACTCACCCTGAGGAAGGGTACGGAAGGTGGATCAGGCATAAATCAAAGCCCAGCATCATTTGCCATCTCACATCTCCCTCTGGGTTTGTCACCTGTCCATTCAAGCAGCTGTTGCAATCATTGACACCTTTCATGGCCTTGATGGCCAAATACATCCACTATATAATACTATATACTATTGAGAGTGTCACGAGTGTCATGACATGGTTTCGGCCAGGCAGTGGGTTGAACATGTTGAACACGTCAATCCTACACTTTGAAACATTTAGACACCAAATCATGGAAAGAGTGGCTGACCTCGACCTGGTCATAAGTGAAACAATGCTTGTTCGCTGGAGACCATCGAAAACAATGGTTGTTGGAATCCCAGGTCCCATGGCGTAATAGTATATGTAATATTATATTATATAGAACTCATTTGACATCGTTTGACACGAAAAGACCATATTTTGGGTGGTAGAGGTCACTCAGCTTCACAGTCATCGCTGCGTGCTGACAGTCATCGTGTGCTGCTTCATTCAGATCCTGGCTGGCAGTGCCATGGAAGCGTGCCATGCGCTTCGAAAGTCAGTGCAGTACCATCCAAGAGGAGGACAGCGGAAGGGCCCATCTTGAGGCGTCCGCCTCGCCGTAACGCCCCCAAGCCTCGGGGGAAGCCCGGGCGCAAGGGTTGAGCGCCCCCGCTGAAAACGATGGACTCTGAACACATCTTTCTTCACCACGGGTCGTTGATCAATAGGAAAACCGTCTGGTAAGGTACCAGTGTGCCAAGAAATCACAAGGTCCGGTTTTTGGGAGCTTTGAAATTCTTGGTGATTGGGTAAGACGTCACAGTTTTCAACCGGCTCCATCCTTGAACACCGGGCCCAGGGTGTTTGGGATATGCCCATTACGGTAGATGGAGATCAGATTCGCCTGAGCGAACGGCTGACCTCAGCCATTGGAAGGCGAGGGTCAGACAACGTTGAGGAATCGTTTTTGGATCGCCAAGTGGGTGGACCATTCAGGTTAAATACATCTTGCTGTGGTTTGCAGAGTGAGGCTGTGCTTGGTCAATTGGCCATGGAGTACCAGCACCAAGTAGACCTGTGGTCGGGCCAAGAGTCCTCATTTAAGGGGTGGGAGGGTCCTGGTAGAGAAATTCTTGCAAAGTGATCTGTCAACTGTCCACCCCACCAAGTTTGCGAGGTGTTTGTCTTCTCGCTTGGTGCGTTGACGCAGAAACTGGGTGGCTGTCTATCCTCGCAGCACCCCGTTCACTCCGGTGGCTGTCTAAGATCCCCCCTCACCATGTGTCTTCCATGGAACTGTTCTGACAGGGTGCTGCTAAGATCTGCTACTTTCGCAACGAGTCGAATCAAAGGTGTGAGTGTGTGTCAACCCACAGTTGTGGGATGTATACATCCTTTTGCCATATTGGTTGGTTGATTACTAGAGGGGGATACCCGCAGGTACGGTACCACCAACAGGTACAGTACCTCTCCCCCGTTCCCAGTCGTATGGACATCATTGCTCCACTACCAAGTTGAGGAGCTTACTTGGACGCAATGGTTCCAAAGCCTTCAGGGCCGATGCTTCTCAGGTGCCGCCGATGGCGGGATGGAGGGCCCGAAAGAGCCGATCCGATTTCGAGATGGATCATTGGTTCTGGGTCAGCGAACTCTGCAAAATTGGGGACACCCCACTCAGGCACTTGCCATGTCGGCCAAGGATACCAAACCCTACATATATATATATAACTATGTTATGATATATATATATATATACCCTGAGAGTCCAAGACCATTAAAAAAGACGGTCTTTATTGGGTGATGTCCTTTATTTGGGTGGACTTCTAGGGTATATCTGAAGCGCCCTTTGCGTGCAAAAGAACAGCCATAGGTCAAAAATCTCTTTTTGGACCTGTCATGCCAAAATATGCAATATATTGCAATATGTTTTTGTGTGTTCTTTGGGGATCTTGACCTGCACCTGGTGCAACAGGAAGCAATACGGGGTGCAGAATTGATTACGATTACACCCTACACAGCACACTCTCCAGTTCAACTTTGGGCATTCCAACATTTGATGAAGGGGTCACTCTTGGATGCTGCAACTTGCATACATTTGACAAACAAGTCTAATTTGAAGGAATATTGCAGACATTTGTGGATATTGCAGAATTTTGCTTTTTGAGTCCAGCATGGCCCTTTTCCTTGCGCCTTGAACTATCGCACTTTTTCCTGGAATCGGTGGTCCAGGTGTATACATATGTTCGGACGATGCGGAATGAATTTCCTGGCAACCCGCCTGATCATTTGGAAATCCGCTCCACTGACTTTGCCCACAAACATTGAATTAGTCCCATCACCTTTTTTGTGAGGTCAAAAATTATGCTTGAGCAGTCCAGCCGCCATGTTCGATACTGTCAAAACAACACATTGATACAATACAGCATCCACCTGGTTCTTCAAAGTGACCCTTTGAAAACCCCAGATTAGGTCACAAACAGGCCTGGACAAGGTGACTTGGGGACGCTCAAAAGGTCCAGATATGTCCAGATGATGTAACTTAGACGATGCATACCTGCTGCATACATACCGTTACATATCGCATTTTTGCATCGTTGTTCCATGTGTGTACATCACAACGACTTATGTCCGTCCCTTGTATAGATGACCGACACCTGTCCAAGGTCAAGCGGTCGGGTTGTCGCCAAGACAGACAGTCCTCGAGTGGCGTTTCGTGACCTCCCGGACCACCAGGGGAGGGCGGTGGAGTCGAGGTTTTACAGTCCAAATGGAGGAGTTGATGAATCAAGAGTCTACATCTTCCTCGACGTGTCCCCAATGGTTTCCAGCTTCGCTTCTTCGCCTCTGCTTTCAGGACTGCACAGTTGTTGGCCAAAGCACATCGCCCTGTCCCCGCGGCGACGCTGGCAACAGGCGAAGGCTGGGATGGGAACATGATGTCGGCGAAGGATATGTGGTGTGAACCATCCAGGGCTGGGGGCAGGAACTGGAGCAGAAGACATGAACAACACCAAGAGTTGGGGGGGTGGACATGTGGTGCATGTCAGGTCATACCTGGAACCCTTCGCAGGCTGAATCAGCCTCAATCAAAGATATCATATTGTACTCATTTTGCCAGCTGAGTTGGATACTGTAACAACATGCGAAGACTCGATTTCTGCTCAAATCAGTCAGTGGGTGCACAGCCGAATAAGCCTGTTGACATGTTGAAACAATTTGCACTTCAGACAAAACTGGTAAGAATAGCCTGCTGGCTGAGCAGAGGAGCCCCAAGATTAAAGTATGCTACTAGTGGTACATGCTGTATTCTGCAGGGCGTTAACGACCTGAGAAGGTCTTTGGGGTGGGCGTCGGGGTCCCTATCCGGACCAAGACCCTCCAAGGACGTCCCGTGATCCAAGGACTTTCTTCTACCTCCACCTGCTGAGGACCGACTGGTCGCGGCTTGACCGGTGAGTCTCACCTCCCGTCGGACGTGGAAGCCGGAGCCCGTCGGACGTCTCGTTGAAACCATGAAAAGTGCACGCAATGCATGAGATGAAGACGATATTTGGTAATGATGACGTTGGATCTCTTGGTGCAAGTATGTGTCATATATTGTACAATTGTCATATCCTTCCACCACAGGAAATTCACCCAGCATCATGTCCAGACATGGCCCTGCTTTTTCTACCATTTCTACCCAAGATGGGGAGTGTGTGTGTGTGTGTGGCGATAGTCATTCACCAAATTGGATATTCTTTGGATACCGTATGGTGTGGTTGAATCCATTCATGGGCCACTTGAGTAAACTGGGCCACTTGAGCAAACCAAGCCGGTAGGATGCATCTGAGCATGGACAGGCTGGAGTGGGAACCATCCGGGCAGGCGTCAGCACTCAGAGACTACTCTCCGGATACGAAATCCTTATGATACTGGAATGCTGTCCCTCTCTTCAGAGATGGCTTTTTCGAGAGGAGGGCTGCAGGGGCCAAGAATTGGGAATCAACTTGTGTAAAAGCATGGTTGGGCAGGTGTAGGTGCTCTGGATTCTTGCTTCACACCATATGCCATATGAAGTCACATGTTTGCTACAGAGATGGCTCATCAAGATTGATTGCACACCTGCAAACCTGTCCGGACCATTCTGTTGTTTCTTCGAGAAGCAGAACGACGGCATCGATGGCCACGAGACGGCTGCCGCGACCAGGCTGCCCAGGCTTCCGTCCGAGCCGTGGCCACCGACAGTCCATTCCGAGCCAGGCCTATGGCCTTCCTTCTTGGCTGGGTCCAAAGCTACTTGCCTGGGCTTTCAAACGACGTCACGAAAGAGGGCGCGTGAGCAAATCGCCGGCGGGCCAGCGAAACAAGCAGGGAACAAGCAATTTTGAGCAGGGAACCTTCAAAAGGAAGAGACAGATGACCAGATTTCATGACAGCTCTTTCTGCTCCATTTTCTCAGTTGACCCCAAACCTATCCAAACCCAAACTTTCAGGTATATAACAGAGCCAGAGGATGCTGGGGGTAGAAGCTCCTAACGACCTGCGGATTCCGGACTCGATGGCCATGCTTTGTGCGACTCGCTGGATTCATGGACGAACCGGGGTCACTGGATCCATTCATGAGACATTTTGATCAGCGACCTCAGCCTTTCACACCGTTCCAGCGACCTCGAAATCCCAAAAAAAAACACGCGGACTGAAGGCGGCACAAATCGACACTGGGACTGGAGGCGGCAGTCGCCTCAGGCGGCAGTCGTTCAACGAAGTAGGTCGGTTTCTTTTTCGATCCTCAGACGCTCCATGAGAGTATATACCCCAAGGGTCCAGGACCATCGGATGACCGACCCCAGGCAACAAAAAAACCTGGGTGGCCTGGAAGTACCTGAAATCACTCACCTCCCTTCAACCAGGGGTACCTGGACTGGACCCCAAAAAGATCCTGTATAGGATAGCTACATTGGGTGGCGGGTATCCTGGAATATCCTGATATGGGACTTGCTTCGGAACATCCGGAGTGCCATGGAGTCCCATGGTGGTCGTGTTTGGTCTAAAATGGATAGGGTCAGGGTTTCCAATATGTCTTCTACGTGGAGATTTGCTTTTCTATCTATTTGGGGGTCTATACCAGGACCCACGAGGGGTGGTTAATATACTTTGCGGGCCTTCAAGTGCAGATTTCGTGGCAGGCGCAGTTCTTTCTGGACCTTGAACGGACACCCTTCAACCTCTAGGGGGCTATCAATAGAAACCCCTTAGGGGGTCCTGGTATATTGTTTTTGTTGTTCCCTTTTTCGTGAACGTTCGGTCTTCGGTCACTGAGGCATGAGTTTATCAATGACTTGTTGGAGGCGTCAACATGGTGGACACGGACACTGCGATGGCCAACTCGGGGGTGGAAACATCAGGTGTTCAGAACATCCAGTGTGTTGCTCAACCAAAGGGGGGCCCTCTTTCGGGGTCGATTTCCAGCATTCTTTTCGATGGCAACATGGAACCATATGGAACCCAATGCGGGGAGCTCCATCAAAACCAGGAATGCAGCTCCAAAAGTCCGCCTTATCACCGTTGAAAGACCAGGTCAAAGCAGTTGCAACCACCAGGAAAGGACACTTGGCTTCGTCGTTGTAGGTTCTATAGTTCATTCATGTTCATTCGATTGCTCGGACTCCTGTCCCTCCAACCAAACCCGATCCTCGAGTCCTCAAGGCGCAGTGGCCCTACATCTCCCAATGGTTCGAAGATGCCATGCGCCTGTCCTGTGAACCAGCGCTACAACACCTCATGCCACCAGGTGCGACGTGCGACTACCGCATTGATCGACCGAACCGCGTCGGGTTTGGGAGGGTTTGGTCCCAATCCCGCGCGGCGATTGTCCTCGATGGCTAAGCCGTTTCAGCCCAAAGCTTTGGCACCCAAACGATTGGGTTCTCCTTTTGCCCAAAGACTTGGGACTGGAAGATTCACCTACTGAAAGACCCCAGGTCAATCCGATGTGTATAAATTTGACGATATATGCCAGTTGATGCCAGTTGTCATGGACAGGAATTGATCTTTGGACCGATGTCTTCGGCCCAGCCACCCGATGGGCTCGACGGAACCGCCGAGAGAATCAATGGGAGACCCGCCACCCATGGAGACCGCTATCCGAGCTAGGGTCTTTCTGGGGTCCAGTCCAGGTACCCCTGGTTCAACGGAGGTGAGCGATTCCAGGTACTTGCAGGCCACCCATGGTCCAGGTTTTTCGTTGCTTGGGGTCGGACATCTGAGCAAAGGGATGGCCGAACGGACCTCTTAGGACCCTCTTTGTTCCAGGAGAGATTCACCGGTTCCCGTCCACCTCTTACAGGATGAAAAAAGCACCAAGGAGCACTTTGGAAAGAAAACGGAGCACTCCTTGCAGGTGCCATCAAAAACATATCAAAGCTAGATCAAAATTTTGATATGTGTTTTTTTTGTTTTTCTCAAGTGTTCGCTGGGTGAGACTGGTAAGACATGCTAAGTCAGTAACCAGTGGTCACGAGCAAGAGTGTCACGAAGAAAGCACAAGCCCATGATGCCCACAATACCACTAATACTCTACAGATGAGCATGGCAATGGAGGCTTTCTCAGATGTATTGATATTGAACATCACGAGTCAAGCAAACAGCGCTGGCACCTCGACAACACAAGGAACCTTTGATGCTGCGTGGATTGGCATAGTTCATCTCTTGAACAAACACATAAATACCAGGGGTCCACAACCCATCAAAGACCTGGTAGCAATAAAAATACATGGCGTTTTTCTGTGCGAAAACCTCTATTTTTGTTTCCATGGTTTTGAGGACCTGGTATACTCAGACAATCCATAGAACTGGAATGTGCCGCCTACATTGTGCTGCGGGCTTAGCCTCTAGAGTCAATGTAGGTGAACAAAAATGAGCCCCGTTGGGTCGGTCAGAACTCGCCCGTAACAGTCAGTTTTCACAAGCAAATCACGTGCACATAGATGTTGGATGATTGAACGATGCCATAGTTAACCATCATCCACTGAAAACCCCTATCTCGGATAGACCCAACTCATAGGAATGGTATCCTCCTGTCCATTTGCTCTGTAAAATGGTGGGGGTCCACCATCATCCTAAAACGTTTTAGGGTACCCCTCCTCAAGGGGGTCAGGGGGTCATTTTACAGAGAAAACCGTATGCTTACCGTTGCCTCTTTCGATACCTCATGAAACAGATTTCTACAAATGATGCATAATAAGAAGTTGGAATGATAAGCAACAGATATAGCTTTCATATACCGGTGTAGGTTTCATCTATGCAATGAGGGGGGTTCATGGTAGGTCATAAAACATTTTATGCCCTTCCATTTGAGCGGGTCAGGTCCCTATTGTACAGAGGACTCAGATGTATTACACCAAGCTGAAATAAAAATCAGCAATTTTGTGCTGAAGTACGGAGAGGTGCTTTTCAAAACGTAGACGGACTGTGTTGTCAATCCATTTGGAGCACTTTGCTTTTGATGGACATAATAGCTCTGGAAAGCAATGGTTCCTTGTGGTTTTTCATATTCTAAGGAAAGGTAGGTGCAGGCAACCCCCAAGCCTCTATAAAATCACTAGGGCCCACGGGCCCACCATCCTTTGGTCTATAATGTCAGCTCCTTGTGTGGTGTGCACACCAAATCTGCCACCACATCTACTTCAACCCCTAGGGAACCTTCTAAATTCTATATAAGGTGTCCTGATTGTATTAGTATTTTCTTTCTAAGGACAGGTATGCGCAGGCAACTCCAAACCTCTATAAAATGACTAGGGCCCACCCCCTCTGTGGTCTATAATTTCATGTTTTTGCGTCGTGCGCACCCCAAAATAGCCACCAAAACCAATTCAACCGCTAGGGAACCTTCTACATTTTATTCTCTCCTGTTGGTATTAGTCATTTTCTGTATTTTTGCCCCTGGTAACCTATGCAGGTTCCTTGTGCTTTTTCACATTCTAAGGAAAGGTAGGTGCAGGCAACTCCAAACCTCTATAAAATGACTAGGGCCCACCCCCCCTTTGGTCTATAATTTCATCTCTCTGTAAAACAGCCACCAAGTCTACTTCAACCCGTCAACGGCTGATCTTCCGAAAATGAATTAACACATGATTCCGCGCTCACGTTTTCAGATATGTTAAAGCATCACTATGAGCCTGTTCGCTCAACATACATTGCATTAATCAAGTCCATGGCAATCTCAAATTGTCTTTGTTCTTTGACATAAGGCACAAAGAATGTGTCAAGATGTTGTGCACCTGATGTCAGGTAGGTTCGTTATATGTTGTCCAGCTTTATGTTAGCCCAGCTCAATTTATAGAACCTGAAGGTCAGGTCTGCCAGCTTATATCTATAAAGCTGTGCTTAGGACCCCCTGCGCGAATCCTACACGGGTATGCTTTTCAGCAAAAAGTGGGCGAAATGGACATCGATTTGACGTCAGGGATAGTCAAATTAGGATTTTTGCATGAACGTTGGGGCCTTCAAATTACAGGATCTGTGGGGTTGGGAACGCCGCTTTACATCTGTAATTTGGCGGTGCGGACCCCCCGGTGGAAACTGACACTGGGATGGAATGGTCGTTTTTGAGATTTTTGAGCAACCATTGGGCAGGTGGGCTTTGGACCACCCCGGGTTGGTCACCCACACCCGAAGCCGTCGTTGGGTCCGAGTCAAACCCCAGTCGGCCGGTCGTCGCGCCGCGCGGCACGCGACTGGAGGCATCACGATCTCCTTCGGCGACCTTTGGACCAATTAGGCACTGAGAGAGGATGAGGAGAGGCAAACTTGCTAAGGAACATGGATGGGTTAAAGGGAACATCTAGAATCTACAGGAAAGGTCACCACCGGTCGGGTGCTGGTAAGCATCCATGGGCCAAGCGTGGTCGATTTAGAGCTTGTCGACACAGCACCATCAGGCTTGTAATAGGCTTGCAGGCTGGATATATGCAGGTCTATCCCGGTGCATATTTGTGTTTGATGGGGACAGGTGATTCTGAAGACCACCCAGGCGGACTGTGCTTGCATGTGAGCTGGATCGGTCACTGTCTTGAACTGTGCATCCCTCGGCGGATGTCCTTTGCCAAACGTTGAGCACAAGAGTCACCTGCCAACTGTTTGGGACTCTTGACGGGTGCCTCTTTTGGTTTTCAGGTCCAGATGTGGACTTCTTTTGTGATGTCAAAGGAACCATCTCTGCTGGTCCGAACCGGTCTTTTCTAAAAAAAAACGGTATACGTGGGAGAAGTCTTCGACCACAAAAGTCTTCGGAGAAGGTCTTCGACCACAAAAGTCTTGGTTTAAAAGTCTCGAAAGGTCGAAAGGTCAAAGTAAAAGGTCTGTGACTTGGACTGGCGAGCTTTTAGCCGGCGTGGTCCCAAAGTCGCTAGCGAGGAGGACAGCGAGGACAAGGCCACCGATGTTCATGTTTGATGCTTCTGGACTTCCGTGATAGACCTGGTGTTTTCCTCAGGTCAAGTGAAGCAGAAGAATGAATGAGAGACATATATATATATAGAGAGAGGCTTGCCATGCCTCCCGAACGTCTCGGCCTCGGCATCCGTCCCTTCATCCACGCATAGAACCATCTCATCCACTTCTTTTCCGTCGTGGGGTGAAACGGGACCCGCGCCGGCGTGTGCGGCGCCAACCCGCCGGGAACGTCAGGAAAGGTGTACCTTGGGAACCAAGCCCGCCATCCTGGAGCAGATCGTCGCCAGCAAATTCTGGGAGGAGCCCCGGCACCCAACACCGGCGATGTTTGGGGGATGGCTGCTAGCGGCGAAGGATGGTTGAATGACCCAAGAGCTTAGAGCAGCTTCGCAAAATGGTTGCCACATGCTTTCTGTTGCAAATGCGTCGTGCACTGGCACGTGCAGGAGCAGCTTGGTTTAGTTCATGTTCGTTAGGATGTTGCCAATCCTTCTGAAAATAAAGGTATCAGGTACCTGCAGGTGGGGCAGTGCGTTTGTTTGTATCGTCATATTGAGTCATGAAATCATATGGAATCTCATCCATGTACGGCTAAAGCCCAGCTCTAGAAATGGCTTAAGATCCCAAATCACCCAGTAAAAGGGTCTCGCAGATTTGGATGAGGCCTTCACATGAGCCTCCAATACTATGCGATCGTTGCATATCACTGACCAAGTAAAACAACGTAAACAGTTATAAAGTTAAAGTTATTAATAAGATCTAGATCTATTAACATTTATAGGTGTTGGGCGCTGGGCAAAGCTTGGAAAACATCATGGCAGGATAGTTTGTTTTGGATTACCCGGGTACGCTGCGCATGTCGGATTCCGACAAGTCGACTTGACCAACAGGTCAGGTCGATGACACACTGTGCCGATCTGACACACTGCTGACACTGACGCCGTTTCACCACACTCAACCGACCCTCGTCTTCGGCCGTGACAGCCCCGAAGGCGCCCGCGGGCTGCGCCGCACAGCACCGCACCGAGGAGGACGGGACGACGATACGCCTCGATGCACAGCTCAACTACCGTGGCGACTGCCATGTGGATGTCACCTGCACCGTCGGGAGTTTGGAACCTCGGTGACCTAAAAGCATGTCTTCGAACTCCTGAGGGGAGTGACGTGACCTGAACTCTCCGGGAGGACCTGGGATAGTCGAACTAGGGTTCGAGTATATATAAGTAGTACTAACCTGGGACAGATTATAGGATCTTACAAGACCCGTCACCGAAAGCGGTATGCCTCACTCCCGAAGTTCGCGGCGCCATCTCTTCCGTTTGAAGTCACAGGGCGCCTTTTTCAAAAGGTCAGACATAGCTGCTGCAGCGTACAAAGCTTTTGGCGGGTGCCACAGCAGCACTGCCCCCAAAAGGTACTTTTTTGTGTTCGAAAAAAGGAGATTCTTAGGATAGGTGGATGAAGATATTTACACCTTTGAAAGAAGAAGTACTCAGATCGGCCAGATGTGTCCCAGATTGATGGGTTCTCGTGCCATCGACAGTTGTGCGTGCGTCCACATCTGGGCTCAACCGACATCACCCGGACACTCGATGTATATGTGCCTACATTGGGGGTGGTTTCAAGAGGTTTCAAGGGTCAATGTAGGCTACCTGGAACCCAGACATGACCCCTGTTTTGATAGGAAGTTGGGCCCTATTTTAGGTGGTTGGTGGTCCAAAATAGAGGTCACAACCTGGTTCTAGGTATATTAGTATATTTATAATTATACAATATACAATACGCTGAGTGTTTGGATCATGTTTGGAGCATATTTGGCGCAAATATATGGTTTCCATCTTTGGCCCTTGGAAGATGTCTCTTTGAAGAACTCTCTTGAGATCTCTTGAGCACCAGCTCGTTATAGCGCACCTTAGACTGTTTGGTATTTGAGGAAACTGACCCCTGCAGAGAAGAGTGAGAAGAGTTAACCAGTTAGATCACACCAGAGACCTCAACAGAAGCACACCCAGTAGTTCAACATCTACATACCAAGACCCATCAGGGACCCACTTGCCTCAGTCTCAAGGTAGTGAGCGGACAACATCCCCACATCACCTTCAACAAGCTATTGTGTTTCTACACCCCTTGGTTGGGCCCAATCTGTTGGTCCCAATCTGTTTCTCCACGCCACTTCCAGTCAGCCGAGGAGTTGACCCGACTGGAGGTCAAGGGACAGATTATCATCGAACTCGTCCGCCTACGAAAGCAACCACCCTGGTTCAGTCCGGTGCCAAGGGGCAATCGCTTCGGGTCCCGAAAAGCCGGTCCTTGAGACACAAGGACCGGTCCGGCATCGACTTCGTCACTCAAAGGAACAGAAAGATGGATCTTCCATCGAATTACACAGCGAAAGAAATGAAACCGGATGACATTCCGCAGTCAAGCTGCAGTCAAGTTAGTTGTTTTGCTGTTTCATACTGCATGCCCTTGGAACAGGAAAGACTAGGAATAACCATGGGGCCAGTCATCTTTGGCATCTTCGCATCCCGAAGGGATGGTGAACAGCAAATACGGCTTGTAGATTGCGCAATTTTCTCAGCTTATACACCATTGACGGTTCTGGACTAGTCTAGGGACTGCTAGGACCCCTCAGCTGAGGCGGTGTTCGCATCTACTTCTCCAACCGTCCCACCATTGCTTCTTGACCAATTGAGCTTTGACCTTGATCAAGCAGAGTCCTGACCCTTTTCCACATTGACCCGCCCGGATGCGTGTAGCGGAACAGCCACTGACGTCGGTGTTTATGCCGTGTGGCATCCTTCCGTCGATGGACCGTGACCTGGACGTAACGTCCACGCGTCGACTCGTCGACTGGCATGGCATGGTGCCACGTCCCAAGGATTTGGTCCTCCAGACCCAACTTTTTGGGGTGGACGCGAATTTTGCCTTCATCAAGCGCTCCGATGAGTCAATCCGCTTTGACGACACGACGGGTTTGGGGCAGATGGGCGGTGTTCAGGCGGAGCTGAAGGACGGTGAGGCTGAAGGACGGTGGATTCGCTGGAGGGATGTACCGTACATGGTCCTTCATCCAGGGTCCTGTCTCAGCCCACTGATGGCCTCTCAAGGCAGAAGATCGTGGATGCATTGACAAAGGTCATCAGCAACCAGGCGGTCTTGCCACACCGTTTCTCAGTGCCTTGTCAGCCAGGTCGTGTACAGACCCTAGGATTCGAACAATTGATTTATATGGTCTTAGAGCCAAAGAACCATTGTTGGACTCAGGATTTGACACTACTTAAACAATATCTCGCAATCTAGAGAGACGGCCCCTTCATAGCTAGAGCCCTATACTGGAGGCCCTGTGCGGGGATAGAGATCGCACGTTTTGGTGCGTTGGTTGGTCATTCATCGTTGCGTCCTTCTTGGGTCCATGTGGGTGGAGTGACGTCGATGAAGGGGAACCAAGACAAGGAAGGCACAGCGGAACAGGTGGGGCGGCGAGACTCCGCAAGGCCATCACCATCAAATACCCCACACCCAGTCTAGAACCACCATCCCAGCGCAGCCATGCGCTATTTCGCATCCATGGAGCAAAATCGCTTTCATCCCCCTCACCTGGATGTTTTCACCACCACCAAATGCGATATGTTTGGCTGCCGCCGCTGGGACCAGCTGCAGCCAAGCGCCACGCGCACCACGCGCACTGAGATCCCCATGGGCGAGGGCATCCGCTTGATGGACTTGAAGTCCCCAACGCCGCAGGGCGTCCTACGACTGCTGGTCTTGGTGCCTGGACGAAAAAACGACGAGCTGGGCGGAGAAACGAGGTCGGTGGGGCACGGGCACGAGGAGAAGCCGGAGAAGCCGAAGAGAGCAGGACTAGGATGAAGGATATGAAGGCCTTCTTTGAATTGAAAGAATTGGGTGAAAGAACTAGACACGTTGCAACCGCTGCCACTGGAGATCTTTGGGGTCGCAAGAATCCAGGGATGGACATTGATCAGTTGACGGGTGTGGAACGCCCTTCTCATTCATGATCAAGCTGTTTCACTGGATCTTTTAGGGCATTGGCTGGAAGAATGCAGGCTGAACATGGCTGAACATCATCATCATTACCCAGCTGAAAACTAACATGGACCCTGAAAGCCACTGGATTGTAGAGGAAAACGGTCTTTCAGGGTGCCATTCTCAGGGTCCATGTTCGTTTTGGGGAGTGTATTCATTTGAGTTGTCAATACGTGATCCATGGGATCTGGAATAGCTCTGTAGACACCTCCGACAGCGAAGGTCGGTTCTAATGAGGTTTGTTCAGCTAAGAGTTCTGCAGATTGCGTTCGAACAGTTCTGAAGACAAGGCAGATTGCGTTCCATCGCTGTTCGATCTTGATGATCTTGATTACTTTCCGTCCATTTCCTTCCTCACCAGCTCAGGAAGCCAAAGGGCTCCCAGACTCTAAGCTGCGAGAAGAAGCATACGAAGCTGCAAGAAGTGGACAGCCATTCTCCTATGGGCCAGCAACATGCTAGATGTTCATACATGCTCCACTGGAGCATAAATTTAGAGAAAGTCAGGAATAGCCTATATGCCAGGAGCTACTAGTAGCGTCCCTGCTACTAGTAGCGATGGCCTCCAACCTAATAGCGGTGGCCTCCACCTAGTAGCTTCTAGCTTATATGTCATGGGGTCTAAGTTGAACCAGATTTCACCTGCCTCTCCCTGAGAAAATCCCAGCTCGATCCAAAGCTATCGAAAAATGCCCACCTGTGACGACCGTGGAAGAGACCGTGGAAGATGGTTTTCCTCCGGTTTCAGTGTCGTTGTATTTCCTATTTTTGTCCAGCGATTCGCTAGAAACAGATGCCCTGCAGGATCCGTGGTTACACTGATGAGTTTGATGAGTTGATGGATGATGTGTAAAAAGGTTTTTACATGCAGGTGCACCATCGCACGATCACCATTCTGCAATAAATCATCCCCAAGGCCCAAGGCTTCGCTTGATCTCACTTCCAGCTCTTGCGGCTGAGGATCCCAGTCGCTCCAACTGGTCCAATCTCATGCTACGCATCGGATGGCAGAAGGCACAAACCGAGGCGGATCCCTTCGCAGAGGCCCCGGGGGAGCGGAGCGCAGACCAGATCGAGTGGAGAGGTGCACCAAGCGATGTTGGAGAAATGAGAGCGTATGTGGAGTCCGGGCAGAATAATTCAAAAACGGAGATACAGGGGTCGCAAGTAGCTTATGATGTTTTGTCAATTGGATTATGTAGCGGGCCCAAGCAACCTATTCTGCAGCTGGGCCATAGGCTTGCGGTAGACTTGCGCTAGTTGGAGGCATGTGTAGGGGAGAGCACCTGCCTTAGGACATGTTCAGAACGTCGTCAGGTTTCGAAAAGTAGCTGGTGTTAGCCACGTGCTTGCTAGCACTGCTCTAGATCTGCGCTAGCAAACATTGCCAGATTCCAGCATGGACCCTTCCAAAGCTGACTTGCAAAAAGATGGCATTCGCCAAAGGCGAGCATTGCTTGAAAAGGCACAGAAAGATTTGGTAGCGGTAGCGGTCCCCATGTGAGCGGGCCCCCATGTGAACACGGCATTCAGCCTTTTTGGAAGAACACATTTCGACCAGATCCCATGTGTGTCTTTATATATATACATAGATCCAACTTTGCAGAATGTTTTTGCATAAAACCAACCAGAAGGCAGACATTTTGCTCAGCCGGTCTAGGTATTACACACAGGCCATCACAGAGAATGAATGAAAGTGGCAGTGGCTCGAAGGCCAGTGCACCATTCTGGTTCATGCTTGAGCCTTTCCTAGATCTCGTCACAGGGAGGCTTGTTGAGCTCTAGGCCCCTCGGCAGCGGCTTGCCGTTGCTCTTTCACATTCTTGCACTCTGCTTGTTGGCTTCTTATGGCTCCTTGGTCGTAGCCTCCACTCTCTTCTTCTGGCTGGGGCTTTGCGTGGGTGCTTGTTGCTTTTGGCCTTGGTGCGGCAGGGCCTTGTGACGTGTGATCACAGCCTTCCTGCTCCTTGGGTGGCTCCATTTAATGACTGGGCTGCAACTTCGGAAAGGTCTTCCGCCGCTCTTGTATGATCCAGGTTGATGGAGCACCGGGATTGAGATTGTTTCAGCTTGCAACCCCTTGCTCAAAGTTTGGACGCAGCAAGTGAGTACTTGTCCATGCGGCAATACGGTTCAGAGCAGTAGCCGGAGGCCGCAGCATTGAAGCTACAGTGAGGGCTGGTCAGGTCAAGCCAGGCAGGCCCCTGTCACAGTTCCACTTAGTCCTCTCCTGCAGTGACGAGGAGGACTTGCAGTTTCGATGTGTGGCCTACTATATGATCTGCCGTCGATCCGGAGGGTTCATGTGACTCTTGTCGTTTTGATCTGCCATCCAAGATGCTTTGTGCCAATGGGCGGATGGAGATGGAGAAACGGCAGTGTTCTTCCAAGAAAATGATGTCTCTGTCAAAACCATGCGGGGCCGGGTATTGGCCATATATTTCTAGGCGTCGGCGGATTCATACGGTATATACGCCCTGGAATGTCTCCGCAGAGCCGGTGCTGTTCGGGCCCCAGCCGCAGAAGAGGTCATAAAGCGCATGTCGAAGACGCCCTCATCCGTCCTTGCGGTAGAGCGGCTTGGAAACTCAGAGATGCATGGAATGGAGATACCCCATTAATTCTCGGCTTCATTGCGGAGCCACTCCGAGGGTGCTTCGCGTCAGCTGAGCGGCGCACCTGTACTTAGACTTAGCCACCGAAAACGTTTAACTGGTGTCATGCCGTGGTCGATGGCAAAAACTGAAAACCGTAGAGTTCTACTTTCAGGAAGCAGCTGCCCAGCTACTTCTTCACCATGTTTCTGCCGTTGGTTGCGAGCGGATTGGAGCCCTTGGCCAATATATAGCGTCCATTTGCTTGGAGTTTTTGTGAGCGCGCGTTCTCAAGCAGCTTGAAGTTGGATAGAGTAGTGCCCCGAACTCACCAAGTTTTCGCTCAGACGCCTGCTAGCAACCAGCTGCCGCAGAACCAACGCACTTCATGCTCCGGGAAGAAAGAGCGAAGTGATGCAGGAATGGATGATTCCCCAGGCCCAGCTACACTCAAACTTTAGCTGCTGGCGGCGGCCCAAATTCACCCAGCCTTCGCCCGGATGCTTGCTAGCATCTTTTGTTCGATCCAGTTGATGCAGAACCAACACACTTCATGCTGCGGGAAGAGAACAAGTGATAAATTGATGTATGGCAATTGATGTATGGCATTTACATATATACAATTTTAAAAGACACACATATATATATATAAGTATACATTCACACATACACGCACAAACAAACAAACAAGCAAGCAAACAAACAAACATACATACATACATATATACATACATACACACATACACATACACATATACATACACATACACATATACATATACATATACATACATGGACATGTACATATACATATACATATTGCACAACATATACAAATACATACTGCACGACATATACATATACATATACATATACATATACATATGCATACATACATACAATCATACAATTACATACATGCATACCAGCATCCTCCAGCAGGTCTCTTCTTCTTCCAGAAGAGACCTTTAGAATGCAAGTATATGATTATTATGTTTTGTTGTGTATATTACTAACATTGGCGTTCTCCCTGACGATGATTGGGGATAACCATGGGGGCTTGAGCTCCATAATGCACCCAAACCCTGTGCCTTCAGTGATTTTTTGCACATCACCTTTCCCGTCACTCAGAGTGTCTCACTTTGAGACAGAAGAAATGAGCTAGATTGCGATCATGTAGAATCTTGGCAAACAAAACCTATCCTTTTCGGATCCATCAAGAGTCTATATACTTTGTGTCAGCCCTTCACACGGGACGCCACCAGGCACCACCACAGGCACGACGAAACGACTCCATGCGTCGCGCGCAGGTGACGATTGGGGCTCAGGTGCAAAAGACCGGCGTGGTCGCACGGAGTCTGGGCCCATTGGGCGTTCGCATTGGTGGGGGGGCTCGACAAGAGCCGTGGGAATGGAACCCAGACAAAACCCATGGGTCTGCCATATTCCCTGAGAACAAAAACGGGAAACGTTCTGTTGTTGAGGGAAGACATCCTTGACCGCGTGAGATTCACCATATCCCACTTGTTCATGCAGTGTTTTACTAATGTTTTTGTGTGTAGATGTATACATGACAGTGCATTCTAGAGAGGATGGTTTTGCTGAATGTACCAATGGACATATATAACTTGAAGGCACAAAACCTAGGCCACCTTATCGACCACGCGAACAAACGGACCACTGGACCTAACTCGACTCTTCAGTGTTTGACTTCGCTGTGTATGGGTGATGCAGCTGCAGGTGTCAGCAGCACTGATTGGGTGTGAGCCAGGCACATCATTATCGTCATCGTCGTCATCGTTATAGCCATATAGACATCGTCATCCAGTGCAGTTCAAAAAGACAAACCGTCGAAGACAACCCATTGCATGCAATGATCACACTCCATCCAACAACACCAGAGAAACCTTGACACCCCCCCGGCACCCCCTCAAAAAAGGAACGGATTTGAAGGTATATTGGTGGTGAGGGGTCATTTTCCTTCCTTCCCTATGAGTCGCACAAATTCCATGGATGGTGTCTCCCGAGGTCGTGCACCGCAGTGGACCGATGGTCAAGCCTTCGACTTTGTCATCGAAGATCCCAAGCTCCAGGAGTCGAAGTCGTCCGTGCGCACCGACGTCGGGGACCGATCCCTTACCGAACCGACCCGGTGAGCATGGAGACTGGATCATGGTGAAGGCGCCAGGAAGCCGGGCCCAGTCGTACCTCCTGTGAAGGTTCTGTGGATCCCATCCGGGTTTAAAGAGCTTTGGTCCGAGCCACCTGGACCGGTCGAAGCGACGAACATCGACCGGGCGGTCGAGGGGCTGGTTTTGGGGAGGGATCAGGTGATTGCTATTTTCCCGAGGCGGGTGAGTCCGTGGATTATGGTCCTTTATTCCCTGTTCCTCAAGCAAATCAAAGTGAAGTGTTTATTTTTTTGGGGGGGAGTGGGAGTGGACATGTGACCGCTTGTCAGCGGTGTTTTTGTTCAATACTCCAATAAAGTTCATGAGTGTTTGCTTGAAGCCCACCCTCCAGGAGACAGATAACCACGAGAAGAAGCGAAATGCTGTGAGCCTTTGATTTGCTGTGAGCCTTTGGTTTCCCGATGTCTCTTTTGGATTCCCTTGCGAATGGTGTATGTGATACTCGTTTCTTCATGTATACCTTTCTAAAGCATCCTAAAGCCCAATTCTTTTGCTCATGACCGCCACAACGACAACCGTTCCAGAACCTCTACTTGGCGCTCCGCGACAACGACACGGGCGCGTTGGGCTGGAATCAGACGCGTGGCCAAAAGCAAGCACTTGAACGGACGAGTCGCTGTGGGCCATGCTGTCACAATGCTGTGGGTTTGCTCCATGTTTTCTTCTACATGCTGTTTCCCCCAAAGAAGTGTCTATGAGTAGGGGTGTCCATGCAATTAGCTCGAGAATTAGTATTTGCCAGTCTCCCCTGGCATCTCCTGGCAGGGTGTCCATTCAATTGAGACGAGTGCCACGGAGGTTTCCGTGCGGTGTGTCCTTAAATCTTCACACTCTCGACTTCCAAACGAAGCTGAGAAGAAGCAAACCCTACGGCCCTGCCGACCGGGCGACCATTTCGACCATGTAGGACCCTCAGAGGTACGACTGGAGGTCCGGGCTGTTGGACCTCCTTGGCTTGGTTGAACCTCCCATGTTTGCTAGTCTCCATTCCCCAGGCACTGGTCGTTGTGATCGTGAGAGATAACATGAGATAACATGAGCACCGGAACAAAAAGTTTAAAACAATAATGTGTTTTCCCATGTTTCCCCGGTCACCTGCAGTTTGACCAGTAAATTAAAGGTTGACGGTTGACGTTTGGGAATCCAAACTCCTGACATCCTAAAACAAGGGTCGCCGGGTTGTTTCGGTCATTTCAAGTTTTTGGCAAGGTAACACTATCACAATGCATAGTGGTTGGAATCCTAGGGTGATGATATCTGAGAAACCTCATCCCAAAGCAGTCTTGAATCCAGAAGATGTATGAAGAAATATGAAGAAATACAACATCTGAAAGCTCGACACAGCTTCAGCTCGACACATGCAAAGCCTGGAACTAGTGGACGTCTGTCAGACACACAAACACGTCGACCTTCAGCTCGACACACCTTCAGCTCGACACACGCCTCAAATCTCTCCCAGCCTCCCTCGATTTTCTACGCCAAAAGTCTCGACCCAGCTTGGTTTTCCTCATCGCTACTGGGGGCTCCTGGCATCGCTATTACTAGGAACAAGGACGCTCCTAGGGGCTCCTGGCCTTACTACTAGGAGCAATGTTCGCTACTAGGAACAAAAGTCTCCGAGGAATCAGCTCTTGGGTTCTGCAGAGAAGAAGCTCACGCAGCTCTTGGAAGGTCAGCACCTCGACCAGGCGGGAAAGGGATCGTTGATATAGCGCCAAGGGCACGAGAAACAGCATGTAGACCCCTAAATAGACAGACACGTATTATAGATCCCCACCCAAAGAGTGGTTTAGAGACCTCCCTGAAGATGTATTTTCCATCTAATAACCACCCAAACTGGGTGGTGCTGGTAGATCCCCACTCAAAATGTATTGGACACCGTGCCACTATCTATTTTGTTGGGACCGCCGCGCTATACTGTGGCGCGTTTCTGAGCCAGCTGCGCGCTTCAATTTCCTCGGAGCAATCTTTAGGCCATTCCTTTGACAGACACCCAACGACAACCGCATGATCCCAAGATATCCCAAGCGATTTGTTTGAAGATCTACTATAGGAATGTTCCGCTTTGGTGAGCACAAGGCTTCTTTCAAAGAACATCAGCACAGCAACCACATTCCTCACTTCCTCCCATGCCCCTTTTGGCGCTTGGCGCCCACAGTCACCTGCCATACACAACGTGTGACACACCCCACGACGGATTCAGAGGACATGACGTGACCCGCCCCGCAGCAGATCACAAGTGACCAGCACCCCAGCACTCCCCCAGCACTCCCAGCACTGACAGGTTTGTATTGTGAATCATGAAAACTACCCAGTGGACTCGGTGTTGGGACAGGCAGTTCACGAAAACCCAGACACTCCATGTATGGACCAGAAAATACAAATATAACTAAAACATAATAACACTAAGTGCAAATATATATATACATTAATATTGTTGTACACATGTGTGTATAGACACACACATATATATATATAATATACACATATATGAAATACCAAAAACATGGAGTGTCTATAGGTGTCTAGGCATTTTGATGTTTTCGGTGCCCAGGGCCTTCCGGAGTTGTGGCTCCCCTTGGGCGGCTTCGCCTCCGCCAAACTCCGCGCCGAGTGGCGCCCCTTGAGCACTGGGACGGAAGGCGCGGAGAAAGGTGCGAGCCTCTTAAGCGGAGAGCTTCTAACGGGTCATGTAGATTGAAGTAGAGAACTGATTTGAGAACGAAGCGGATGGGTGTTTTTCTTGCGGAGTGTGTGAAGTCCTTAGATCTGAGCTCAGGCGTGCCCACTGCGGGACACGTGCCGCTGCATCCCACTGGCCCGGAACCCTGGCTTTCAAGATGACATCTTTCGCAGTTCAATTCTTTGGAATCCTTTCCATCCAAAAGCCGTCCAAAGATGTTTTTTTGCTCTTCCAAAAGCGACTCCGCAACACATCTCTCATTTGTGCGACTTAGTCTCTTCTTTTCCTTAAACAACAAAACCGCCTTATTGTTCGACCGAAAGCACGCGTTTTTCCAGGCTCCTGGAGCATTGGTCCTAAGAATCAGCATGAGTGGCTCTTAGTGGTCGACACTTTGAGCGTCTCTTGGATACCTTCGTCGGAGCGAGCGAGCGCGAGCGAGCACGACGTGATACGACGTGTGTACTTTTTTTGGTGGAAAAGTGATGTGGACAAGAAGGTTGAGCATGATTGAGCAAATTGCCGGGCTTGTGTGGTGCACTGGGTGGTTGTGTGCTGAAGTGGTTGCAGCAGATGCTGAAGGCTATTCTGTGGCCCTGCAAGGAAACAAGAAAAGAACAACACTATAACGTATGCAATAGCCTTTTAGCCATGAACTGGGCTGTACGAAAGCTATGATTTTGATATATTTTGATGACCACTCAAGATACATTCCGGACATGAACATCGCAAGCCTTTTTTACTCCAAGCTTAAACCAACATGTTGACGTTGAATTCTGAATTCATTGTGCAGCTTAAACCATCTTAAACCTACTGCGTCCAGTCTGACCCAGTCTATCAGTTTTTGGTGCCTCGAGGATCAAGCCCTTTTGGGACCGATCAGATCAAGTCCTTTTGGTCGAAGAGCCCCAAAAAGAACACATGCCCAGGGAAACCAGGCAGTTCCCACGATGTCGCTCGCTGTTTTCGTCCCGTCGTAATTTTCCACTTCGAAAAAACACCACCAGTTCGACCGGTTCCGAAGGGCCCTGGTTCCTCCATGAACTCGCTCCGAACGGCCCTGGGGAGCAGCGAACAGAACAGCGGAACCGCTCCCCACCGCCCAAGGCGTCCGCCCTGCCGAAGCACGGACTCGGCTTGAACCATTGGGCTTCTTGCCGCCACGCCGCCACGCGAACGGCTGGACAAGGTAACCCAAGCCATTCGAGAGGTTTTGAGACGTGTGACCTGAAGGAGTCGGCAACTGAAATCCACACGTGTTCGGCCACAGCTGTTGGAAGTTCAGGACACTCGAGCATGGGAGCCGGGTCACCCCAAAAGAAATGACCCGATAAAGCCTATGGCTGGGAGGGCACTCAACGTTTATGCCGGATGGTTTCTTCAACTTCTGATTGAAAGCCTCTAACGAGTCTATAAACTGATCATTATGGATCTGTGAATCCTTTCTGGTGACGGCCGCACATACATTCCGCCTCCCTTTTTTTGGAGGATGTAGATAGGCCCTAGGCATACTTCACTTAAGATAACTTAAGAGCTGCATAATTTGCTGGAGAAACATCAACAAGAGCTCACATTTGTCATACAACTTTTTTGGCTGATATGTAGAAAAGGGATTCATTGCCTATCCTCCAAATAGTGGAGTTTCTACAACAGTCAGTGCATGAACAATCCAACACAAAGCTCGCACGGCAGCAAGGAAGCAAGAGAAAGGAAACCAAACACAACGCAACACACAATCAATCGACAACTACCAGGACCATCCTGTCTGGGTGTCCTGGCGGTTTTCTCCCTTGCACTACTATCGATCTCCAGCCACATCCAGATGGTCGGATGGTCCAGGTATAACACCCAGATGGTCGGATGGTCTAGGTATATACGATGACGGTATAGCATCTACAAGGTCCGGCCATCAAACGTGCTAACATGGTGGCGACCTCTTCATCTTCGCCACACCGCACGATCCGCTCGCGGATCGTCGGGCCCTTCTCAGGTGAAGCTCAGCATCCAATTTGACGGTGCGGAGAAAGGCAGCTATGCTACAGGATCTCAGATGAACGACCGAGCGGATTCTGTTTGAACATCCGTCTTTCGGCCTTTGTTGAAAGACGCTCATCCCAGACACTTGACCATGTTCTGAGCTTGTTTATTCGAAGAAAAGACACATTTCTCTTACCACCTGGGCATCCATCCAGGGTGAACCCAATTGGTGGGACTATACACCATCCAATCTAAGATTCACATCAGATTCAACTTCAGTCAGAAGTGTTCAGCAACAGATTGGTCAGTGTATAGAACCGCGGATTGGTTCGACCTTTCTTCGTTGCCCGCGAAGCCGTCCTCGCCGTCGGACTGCGCTCTCTCGGGGCTTCGGAGAAACAGGAGCTGCGGTGGGTGCTGGACCGGTCGAGCACGGGCAACAGATGTTGGAACACATGGGGCTCCGCCCGGAGATTCGCCAGGCAGCGGCGCAGAGAGGGAGAGAGGGATTGAGAGAGAGAGAGAGAGAGTGGCCATGGGGGAACATCAATTGATGGGCCAAAGACAAAGGGCTGGTGTCAAAGCAAGATCAGCTTGGCAGAGTATCCCAGGTGAAGCATCTACTATAAACAGTAGACTCAGTAGCGGTCGACCGCTGAAAATCCAAAGCAAAGCCATGTTGTTTCCAGCATCTCCCCGATGGTCTAGCAGACTCCTTTTTTTCTTGCCGTGGTCGCTAAAGCGTCCGTGGGCCACTGCAAACAGCTCCTACTGCCATCCCCAGACATTCGATGTACTTTATACATACGTTGGGGTTGTTTCCTGTATAGCTACATCTTCCAACGCAGAATGTTTGCCCTTTATCAAACCAACCAAGAGGCATCCTTTTTTGCATCTATACCCAGACACTGAATGACCCCATGGGACTGCCATATTTCTTCTTGGGCATCAATTTCTTCCTATTATGGGTAAAGGCGCCTTTGTCCGTGCTTAGGCGTTCTTGCCCCCTGTAGGCGTTCTTGGCTCCGCTAGGCGTTCTTATCCTTGTGGTTGCAATTGCAATGCTCAAATAGATAAAGGATCTTCCCACCACTGGCTCCAGGAACAATAGAGATACAGGACACTTGTTTATCACTTGATGTTTCACTTCTGCATGCGTTTAGCGTTTCCATATGCTTTGTGTCATTGCTTTAGTATGTTGTTGGGTAGGCATTCTTCCCGTCACTTAGGCGTTCTTACCCGTTACTTGGGCGTTCTTGCCCGTTACTTAGGCGTTCTTACCCGTTCCCCCCTCACAACAATCAGCAGTTGGGTGGACAAAGGAATGGTAGCCTTTTGGGGGGGAGCAAGTGCCATGAGTTTCAAAAACTTTACTTTAGACCGGGCACTATCACTGGCGTCAGGTTGCCTTCTCAAAAACCTTTTCACTCAGATTATGGTTTTGCCTCCTGCATGTAATGCATGTGATTGTGCCTCGGCGTTTTTGACCCTTTCTTGGCTGCAGCTTCGTTCTTGGGTTCACATGGGCAGAATTTTCTGCCTCAGTGAAGTTGGGCGGAAACTTTTACCTACATGAGTAAAACCCTCACTGATGTCGTGATTAGGCTGATTAGGTGATTTTTACCTACATCAGTAGGTTCTAGATGGTTCTAGGTAGTTGCCAACATCAGTTAGGGTTGTGGTTTTTCCCGTGGGGTCAACCTGGGGCGGTCGAATTTTCTGTCCAGTCCCGTCGTTTCGAGACCAGTCCATGGGACTGGGTATATTCATTTGAGCAACAGCCAATTTGGGGTCCGGTTTGTACAAGCGACATAGCGAACAGCCAATTTCGCGATAGCAACATATGGAGAGCGGCATTTCGCGTGCATAGGTTTTAGTGCTTCGAAGCGCACCTCGTTCATTTGGGAGCTTCAGATCTTCCAAGCGAGCATCTTGCTCGCCAGGTGCTGCAGTCACACCCAGAAAGGCGGGACGATGGAGGTTTCAGAGTGGGATCCTGCCTGGACTGAAACAGCTGGGGACGTCATAGACAACATGGAGACCCAGAAATAGCAGGTGCTGGTTGGAGATCACTGATCTTTGTTTTTGTGTTGTTGTTTTCCTTGAGGGATGAAACCTACTCCTACCATCTCCTACCCGCATACTGCATACTATGTTTGGTGCCCTGTAAACATTGGTGTGAAAATCCCAGCAGACAATTTGAGCATACGTCAATGGCTGAGGTGATAGGAGGCGATAGATGGGAATGCATCGTGGACCATCAACAGCCGACGATCTGACCTGAAAGCCATGAGCAGCCGTAAGCCTCGGAGCTAGTTTTCCTAGGCCAAAGGTGGAGCTGACACCAACTTTTGTGGTGGTTCTTGTCCACCTTCGGAGAAAAACCACAAGCTTGGCTGCGCAGGACTTCTGCTCAACAAACTCGTTGGGTGGTGTTATCGAAGAACCTCATCCCAAAATGTACGTACCATGAAGAAAAATATTGGCTTGATTTTCTGTAGGGCCAAAAGATCTAAGATGCGTGAAAAAGCACATCATCGTCACGAAAAAAGTGACCCAAACCTACACTGAGCTATAGGAAACCAAATGCCCAACTAAATGTCCCAAATGTTTTCCATGCTTTGACACGCCTCCCCCAAAAAGACTCACTCCTTCCATGATGTCTCCAAGCCTTTCAGCCAGACGCTCCATGTGTCTCCGAGGATTTACTCCCTGTGGCGATCACAAGTCTCGGCCGCACCTGCGGCTGTTGAGATGGAACAGAAGGGCAACACAGGTGGGTCTGGAGCTGCAGACCGGGCCTTGCGGTTCTGAATGCTTGGCTGCGAGTTGTTTTGCCAAGCAATGTCGACGTTAACATGTACAATGTCTTACACAACAACTTGCATTACTAGATGGGCTTTTTTGGGCGCCGTTCAATCCTTTGAAAAATCCGTGTCATCTTCCAGCCGCCTCAGCCGGTGTAAGATGGTGTAAGCATCCAGAGAGAGAGGGAGAAAGTATGATTTGTGGGTGTTTCGATAATCTTTATCAAGTGCAAGGATTGTTGTATGACACAACCAGTCGTTTGTGAGATGCTTTTGCGCCGGACATTCATCCTTCCTCCTGCAGTTTATGGTCTCACGGGGCCTCCGGTCTTCGTGGATGCCGTGCTGGGGAGCCAAGACCGTCGGCGTTGGCGATGGTGTGAGATTTCAATAGATTTCATTATTGAGTGATGAAGATTGTGCCACTTTCTCTAACAGCTGAGCTGGGTCAAATCTGCCATCCATATGGTGTCCATGGTCCATTGCAGTTGAAGACGTTGTTTCTTTCGCATCCTGAAGTGGATGATGGGGGGCACAGTCCCGGCCCTGACCTTCTTCGATGTACTGATGCACCTGGAGTTCTCCTCGTTTTCTCCAGCTACCTGTCTCATCTTGTTTCTACCTATTTCTGATGGTGTCAGAGGTTGCGTTTTGGGGGTAGTAATACAGTAAGAACTGCAGAGCGTTGTTTGGTTGAACATGAGCCCAAATCTCCAGATCTATACGTGCAGAGCAAGCAGTGCGGCACAACGTTCGACTGGGACCTTGGCAAAAGCCATGTGTTCAACACCATGCAGGTGAAAAAACACAAGCCTGGCCTGTTCCATTGTTTCACCTCCTCCATCGACGTCCAGCCATCTCTTCAGCCACCTCTGAAAGGCCCTATTCAGCCCAGCCTGAGGTGGAATCACAACGAGCGCATCCTGGTGGATTCCTTGCCATCCATGTCCTTGGTCCTCACCGTCCACCGAACGGAAAAAGGCCCCTTCGACGGACGCGGTGGATCGCGTCGCGAGACGGACGCGGAACGCGAAGCACCGAGACGTCCCGACTCGCGGTCCGAAGCACGAAGGAAGCCGTCCGATCGGTGGTAACACCATGTTTGGTTTGACCGAGGCGCTAAGAAGTTGCATGTTGGTCCCCATGTCGTTTCAAGAAGAGGCGACCAAACGTTGTATACGTTGCATGGTGATGAGCGAAGAATTGGACGGAAAGGAGGAGAGAGAGAATGGAGATTGAGATCTCTATACCAAACGCATCCAAACGCTACCGGTGCCATATCCTTTTGATGTCAAAGTGCGTGTGAAACTCATGGCACTGTGATTGAAATCAACGGGATGGTCAGCTTCAAATATGGAACGACGCGAAAAAAAATTGCGACTCGCGTTTATCCCCTGAACAAACATGATGGGTCCTCTTCCGTTAAATTCCATGTGGACCAATGTCAGCTTAGAGTCCATGTCGAATCGGCGAAAGCTGATGAAACCTCAGCCTTTTGTCGATCGCCTCAGGCCAGCGCAACATGGAGGACGGCAGCGTGCTGGGCAGCGCTTCGATGAATTTGGAGGAGTTGTTGAAGGTGCGAACACCGCGCGCGGTGAGCCGGTGTGACCGCAAGAGATCCTGTTGAGTCATGCTCACAGAACTTCCGTTTTGATGAAAGAAACGACCTCACCTGGTCGGTAGAATCCACCACTACCAGGCTGCAGTAAAATGAGTCATGATAGGACTCGAACCTCGATGTTTCTTCTGTGAAGAGTCTAGCTGAGTCCAGCTTTCGGAAGTCGAACTGGAGGTTGACCATGACCGAAGGTGATTCTCGAAATGAAGGTTGAGGTTGATCATCTCTACCATCTTCGGGTTTGATGCAATTTGGGCACGGTGTCACCAGCTGTTGTGTTGTCCAGCTGTCCAGGATCGTTGCCAAAACCTTGTAGGCGTCACCAAAGAGAACATGAAATCTTCGAGCCAGAGAGCCTTTTAGACCCATGTTGTGCCTGAACACATGCCTTTTGAATTCCTTTTGAGGATTTTTGAGGTATCTCGCAAGTGGCAACTGATGGGAACTGGGCCGGGGGTCAAAAAAAAACGGTTTTGTTGGAGGTAGAAACCAGAACATTCATTCCACACAGTGACGGTCCGTCGCACCTCACTTTGCATCTCACCTGGACACTCCCTTCGCCCAGTCTCTTTCGGTCTCACCAGACCGTCGGGTTCTCCGGATTCGGGTCTGTGGCGTTTGCCAGGTCCGTCTCAATTCGTTATTTGGAAAATAAGTACCTATAGGACCTTCAAAGTGATCTCATTCGGATTCTGGGCAAAAAAGAGGTCACTTTTTTCAGGTCAGGGTACCTGTTTTTGTTCGGGTCATGTCGCATTTTCTAGAGTACTTGAAGTCGGGTGCAAGTGGGTACACTCTCCCTCCGCATGTCACGATCTCCGGAGCTCATCCGACCAACCATATCCAACCACAACTGTCGCACCGAAGCTCCAGCTTTGGGCTCGAGCGCGTTCCGCCAGTCCGAGTTGAGTTCGGAGACGGGCCAGTTCCGCCGTCTCGTCGCGTGGGCGAAGGGAATGTGGTGGAAGCAGAGATGAACGCCACACCTGACAACTGCAAGTCTCAACTCATGACTCATCCGTCAAGATGTGCGAGACGGAGTTCTGTAGGTGGCAAGGCTGACCCCTTTTGGGATGATTTGGAGGCATTGATATTGGACAGACTGCTTCCGCAACTTGTGCAACTCACGAAAAATAACAGGAGCCTACAGTTACAGCCATAGTCAGTCAAGATGCACTCTCCCCTAGCAATTGCACCTTTGGTTTGCTTGTGTGTGTATGCTGTACTGTCATCACGTGGATTGTGATGGTCAGATAATTGCGCACATATTGGCCATTTTTGTGTCAACATGCAAGACACATATTTTCATATTATCATTGGGGACTCTAAGATGCCTTCACCTTCTTTTGAATGATTCAACGGGAAACTCAGGTGATGTGTGCCTGTAGGCAAAGGCCTTGCAACGCCCAGGTTGGCCAGCAATGATGGAGGAGGAGGAGGGTCCTTTGCGAGGTCGTATGTCCAAGCGATGCTTGGTTTCTGCATAGGTCGGCAGTGTTTATGCGTCTTTGATGTCATTGTTTATTCCACCCTTTTCCTTTTTCAGCTTGTGCACACATGTCGCACCCTACCTGGTATCGGGTTCAACATTTAGCCCAGTGAGCGGGAAAGTCTGGTTCACACATGTTCTGTGGCGGTCGGATGTCTCCACTGCACAGGGTCTTGGGAACTCAAATCATTTATTTGCAAGTGGAAGTGGCCAGCATAAGGCAGGGATTGAAGGATTTTCCGCAAAGATGGTTTGCCGTGTTCAGTTCAAGTGACCACCATGCAGAAGCATCATATCAATTTGGCGTACACAGCTTGGCAGTTTGTCAAACGTCCAATTTTGCAATGCTCCAGTTGCCGAGCAAAAACCACATGTACTATATAATTACTTGTGGAAGAGTTGAGTTCACAAAAACACATTTCTCACTTGCAGGTTCGCTTTTGGGTGTAACTTATATATACAGTTTCAAACATCCTCCTGCCCCAGCAAACCTTTTTCCATGAGGTGTTTCCTTCGAAGAGGGGGCAACATTTGGTGTGTATATTTCTTTGCTCTCGCGCACCAGTCAGGATTCATGAAGAGACAAGTGCTCTGCAAATATTTTGCAAGCAACAGCTGCACCCGCGGAAGCAGATGTCGGTTCTCTCACAACAGTGGCTTGTCAAATACCAGACTGTTCAAGGCTCATTCTGGTTGTGACGGTTGCCCTCACTTTTGAAGGGACGAACATGCGAAGAGCGGCCGAACCGAACCAAGACAGTCACTGATGAATCTGGTGCTTTCCAAATAGAATTGACACATCACACGACATCTCTTCCAGGGTATTTATTTGCCGACTTAATTTGGTTGCAAGTCACACCAAGATGTTGGAAGAGGACAAGTCAAGCACGTACATCCAAGTACAGTACCCTCCAACCACTAGGTCAATGTTGTTGGGGAGCAACACCTGCACGACCATGCAAAAGCATCAGATACACCGGAATCCCCCTTGTAAATACTTCCAATCCAATGCATCAGCGGAAGGGATGAGGTCATGATCATCGGGGCTCTAACATGACTCAAGCGAAGGATTTAGTCCATATAGTAATGATCCGAGTAATGATAGTTTTTTTAATGATACGGCGACCACCGAGATCTACACGAGAAAAACCTGCAACACATAGAGCAATAGAGTGTGTTCATTTGCATAGCAATTTGAGAGGTGTAGTATATTACACAAAGGCTTATTTGAGCGGACCTACATGTCGTGAAGTACTCAGAAACAAGAGAAATCACAGTCTGTGGTCATCCTGGTCCTGATGGCTCTCCTTGTCCCTTTCCAACCGTGGTCCTGAGGTCATTTGATGGACAGGGACGTTGCAACAGCGATGGTGGACGTTGCCGCTGACGTGTCAGCAGGTGACACTGTCGACATGGATGTGACGGAGAGCCTCGAGAAGACGGCCTTGAGAGGAGAACGATGGAAAACACCAAGTGAGTGCCCGGGCTTTTCAACTGTGGGGGGGCCACAAGTAGTGAGTAGTGTGAACGGAGGTTTTTGGGGTCGACAGCTTGGCCATTTGGAACTCTCTTTTTCTTTTAACCACCTGGAAGTACTTACACCGAGAAAAGACCCTTCCAAAGTGGATGGAGTGGGTGACCTGACCTGCGAGTACTTGCTGGCCATTTCCATTTGAGGTTCTTTTGATCATATTTGGGGTTCAGCTTCTCACCTTGCTTCTGGACAGGCTTGTTAGATACGCCTTCTCACCCCACAAACCAACTGCACACGACTGCTTGCAACCTCAAGGTGCACGCGACTCCTTTGCTGATCGGGTGCCTTTCTTCTCCCTCCGGTGAAGCCCCATGCTCTTTTTTGGTGTGTGTGTGTGTTTCCACCAGGTCCCTTAGAAGCAACTCAACTCAAACCCTTTCTGCCCTGTCGTTCTTCCCAGATCTCCCATGTTGAATCAAGTCTTGGAAGACATAACCTCCACACCTCAAGACAACTGGTACTGTTAATAACATCGTTCATTGGAGAGCCTGTTTTCAAAATGTTAAAAAAAAAGTCAAACAAAAAGTCAACTTAGTAGTCAGTCCCAAAAGTCAATATGAAAGAATCTTTTATAGGATGGTACTGTCCAGCCTTCCAGCCTTGGCCATTCAAAAAAGACCTGGGGCAAATCCAACTGCGGCACCGCACTCTCTGCACCTTGGGTGTTCGACGGCTGCGTCACGGCTGCGTTGGACACCAAGGTGTTCGACGCCACCCACATCTCCACGCCGCTTGGACGTCCCAACGAAGCGAGTGCACCCGGGGAGTCCGGGTGCACGGTACACTCTTTGAAAGAATCTATGCATATACGTAGAGGGACATGTTCATATTCTGCTTCCACGTCCTTCCTTACATGGACTGAGCTCGTATTGTTATAGTGTTTTCCACGTCTTCATAATATATATATAATATATATTGTGGAACTCCTGGGAGACAAATCTCGTCATGTGCCTGGCTGTGCGTGTTCCGCTGTTCTTTTTATTTTTCCGCGATTCTTCTTTGTCCCTTGCCCTCCCTACGGGCGAAGAAGCTTTGCACATGTTCTCGAAACTTAAACCCACAAATGTCGTGAACATGGCATGGGCAGCACACCAGGAGCATTTATGATAGGCTCTTGAGCTGAGAGCATCCTACATGAGAGTGGTGTAGGAACATTTGTGTCACCCCTTTCTGGGGCTCCAACTACATCCTGAGAACGTGGTTTGGGTGGGTGTGGGGGAAGTAACTACCGATTGAGGATGTGGCTTGACTATAATGGTGAGGTTCTATTGGTCGCCCTCATAAGAGTTTGAGGGCAAAGAAGGAGGGGAGATTTTCGAGTTCAGAACTTGGTCAAATCCGAGCAATGACCCTAGCTACACTCCCTGGACGAATCAGCGAATCAGCAAAACCGAGCGTATGTGGAGCATTTTGGAAAGCTGGTGCTTGGACCTGACGCCATCCATTCCTCGATTTTTCCAAGTCTCCAGGTCACCGGAGGCACCTTTTTGGGAGAAGCCCATGAAACCAGCACCAGTGAACAAATAGGTGTCCACATGCACCTTTATTCGGCATCATCGTGCTCTCCGGCGTAGAGTCCACGCTTCGTCAAGTCAACCCTCGCCAACGACCGGAAACATGCCGAGGTGACGACTTTGCTGGTTGGAAGCTCCAACTCCAACCAGCCACATCGTCAGCATCTTCGGATAGCGCGAGCAAGTCGGTGTCGGGCTCGTGCCTGGTCAGAAACCGAAGATTTCCCATCCCTCACGCGACCCGTTTGACGTCGTTGAAACGACTGCCGATCGTTGAAACATGGCCCGAAACGTTAAATATTCCAGTCCCAAGGAGTGTTTGGGCACGAATGGGTTGTAGACGCTGTAGATTTATGACCTTTCTGCTATTTTCAATAGAGCCCAGGTGGGTATACGCTCCAGTGGATGTGTAAATACATGT